TGAATGGCGGGGGGGGGAGCTCGCCGCCAGATTGGGCGCTGGCGCGTGGAAAGATGCAAGCGGCTCGAGAAAGCCAAACAATCGTAGAGATATTATAGAGAACGGACACAAAGTTCGACACTAAAACTACAGTGCAGTGAAGAGAGAGAAGCGTGGGATTTTAAATTCTGAGGAGAAAATAACATTGTTTTTTGGGAAAATAGTGAAAGACTAATTGGAGTGTTAAAGTTACAAATCCTGCAAAAACTGAAGAGTGTATTGGTATCAGCTCGCTGGCGCAGGTGAGCTATCGAATCGGGGCACCTGCAAACAAGAATGAAGGTTAAATATAAAGCAATAGTGTGTGTGTATAGACACAATATGTGATGAACACATGTCTTAGACCTAGAGAGTTGCAGGCGGCAAGGAAGGAAAAAGCGAATTGTTGTCAAACTAGGTGGATCGGTTTAACGGTCGCCGACGTGGTCACTGGATTCAGTGCGCCCAAGGCTGCGGGCGGCAGCGGCGTGGCGCAGGAAGAGCTCGCGGCGTAGGCGGCTGGATAAAAAGCAGCCACTATCGTCCCATGAACCTGGGTGGTAACCAGTCATAGACGTGCCAATAGTGCCGGCGGAGGGCGAGTTCGGTAGCGCAAGAATAGCAGCTGGGATGCGTTCGAGAGGCGCCGCATGCGGGGTGGGAACTCCGTGAAGGCCCATTTGCCATGGCGACGCGCATCGCGCAGCATGAGGGTCGTGCAGACGCTACGTGTGCACGTGCCGAGCAGTTGGCAGCATGGATAGCAAGACAGCGCGCGCCAGCGACGTAGAAGGGTCGTGGAAGGCGCCAGGCAGACCTACACAAGGGAGGACAAGCTTGTCCGAGCAGGCGCTGTGAATGAGCCGACGTCGTCCCCAGGGATTAGCCAGACGGTCTCAAAGGCGCGGATTACGGCTGTTGCCGGGCCGCGCCTAACGCCACGAAGCGAAGTTTTGCCATTGGAGGTCGTATCAAGAACAAGCTTGTTTCCGGACTCGCAGACTGGGGCAGCGAGTGGTGTTCAGGCGATGAATCTCGTCGCGTCTTGTCCCTGCGCGGACGCTGACTAGACAATCCGTAGTGTGGAGGCCGCGCATCTACACCCGTCAAAGTGAACGGCGGTTTAATTGTCGAAAGCCAAGCAGCTTGCGAAGACTTGGTGTCATGGTGTGGGGTGCCGAGTGCGAATAACGCCCCAAGTCCCGGCTGATGTTCATATTGGCGCACATGTACGGCAGGGCCGCTTTTGTGGAAGATATCCTGGCAAGCCGATAAAGTTGCGCATAGGCAAGCTTTTGAAAATAACATTCCAGTGAGCATGGGGCGGGTCACGCTGCAGACTCCCAGGCAAGGTCAAGCACGAGCCGCCACACAAACGACCATCGCCTAGGGGCCCGCCTCGCATCATTTCGATGGGCCCTGAGGCGATCTCCAACATCCCCCTACTGAAGCGTTTGGACGCAGGTAGGACCCCCCCCCCCCCTTGCCGCAGATCGGTGACGCTTTTGAAAGTGACACTTGTTTAAATCTGAGTATTCAGACATTTCCAGGCGTTTCAAATTCCTCCAAGGGCAGGCCGGGTGGAACAAAGCCGTTACTGTGCCCACCTTTGTGTACGAATGACTGTTTTGCGTCCGAAGTTTTGACGAACTAGAACAGTTTCCAATGAGTTCCTGATCTGCGTGGGTACATATGTTTGTTCTTTGCTTGGATGTTAGATTTTTCCAAGGGAAGTGCGTATGCTGAAGAATATGAGACGCTGGGATAAATTCAATTCTAGGCAAGTAGTGTGATGCCAAATGATGCTATTTTCTCTGGCCTCCTATACTTCTGCTATCCTCTGAAAAAGTTCTAACCATTGTTAAACATAGCAACGTGCGATCTAATTTTCGAGCAAAAAACAAATGATAGGGGACTGGACCCATTTTTTAGAAACATGAGATTATATAGCTGCCAAATTGAAATGTCCGTTTTCAAAATTCCAAGATCACCGGTGCCCATCGCAGAATGTCAAATTTGGTGAAGGTATCTGTATGTGTTTAAACGGCCGCGAGCGCCGAAATCAAAATTATAACGTTTCACGTAGTCTATTCCTGTTAATACTACTTTTATCGGGGTCATTATGGCGCAATGGAACAAAAGTCTGTTATTGTGATAGTGCGGCCGTGTGTCGTTGCAATACTTTTGTAATACCATGCTTCTTACAAAGAACTAATATTATAAATACGAAACGCCTTTCCTTTTTAAATACGTAGGAGTGCATCTTTCCATTTTAAATCGGATGCGATTGTTTGCTTCATGTCCGCAGACCAGTTACAGAAGGGCTTAAGATTTTATCGTAAGAACAAAGAGCTGGAAGACAAATGTTACTTAAAAAGTTATTGTAATTTTTGGTATTTTTAGGGCATGTCGACGAAACGAACTTGTGCATTGACTACACAAGAACAACAAAAATCTACTTTTTTTGGGCGCCTACCAATTTTTGAGCTCATTATAGTGTTTCAAGGCGCCGGATTCCAAAAATGCTAACTGCTTGACTACATCAGCTCTAGTTTTTAGAAGATACCGCGAAAAAATAAGGTTTTTTCGTCTCTTTCGGGATCGTAGTTTTCATTTTGAATTAATATATTATGATGGCGCCACTCATCCTGGTGCGAATTTGTAGTTTGATAAGTTCCTAATCGGGTCTATGGGTTCGTGTCCCATTACGTTCAGCGACTTGTTTATATCGTAATGTTTAACTGGATTTGGTAGTGGTAATTGAAATAAAAATATTAGACCAACTTAATACAAACAGGTTATTTACATCAATAATTAATTTTTGAATAGCCATTCATGAGCCCGAAAATCGCAATGCGACTAACTTTAAACATAGCAAATTTAACTAAATTTTCTACAAAAGAAATTTCGTCCTTATCCTTCTTTTCTTCTTTACTAGTAGTTTAAATGTCTTTGTCACTAACCAGTTTTTCCTTCCTCCGTGCCAGAGCCGCCAAGGTAGCTGTCGCTGTTTGCCACCAACACCACAGAAAGAGAAAGTAGGGGCGAATTGTCTGGAAGCCGTCTCTCAGTCGGAGCTTCCCGTTGTAACCTCAGATGTTGGCCGGAAAATCGCCGTCTCCGTCCCTTATGCTGGCACCTTGGAGCTCTGCCCTCCGCAGAAGCTGTTACAAAATTCCAAAAAAAACCCCGAAGGGTTTTTAGAAAAGCGCCCCATTGTGTCGATGCCACAACGCCGCTTTGTGTTGTTCACAAGTCTCGCCTTCCGAGAAAGTTGTTTCTTCTGCTTACGTGTATTGATGCCGTATAATTTTCCCACCAGCGTCGCGATCCTTAAAATCTTCAAAGACGAAGCGATCGAAAAATCGGTCAAACAATGGCGAATTTGCCATGGCCATAGGGTGTAACGATTTACTGACGATATGTGCCGAGTAATTGAACAGAGCCTGAGGTTTACGGTGACTTTATTGACTTAATTTCTTTAGGAGTTTTTCAGTCCGTCGAGCTGTAAATGTTGCAAGAAAAAAAAGAAGAAAAAAAGTTAGACGGAGGAAGTTGTTCTCCGAGCCGCGACCTGTCTTGTCACTAGCAGTCCTGACTCCTACGCACTTGCTGGGCTTTCTCTTTGCCATCGAGTTCAATACCTCCTTGCTTTCTCTCCTACTCCGACTTTGGAAAAATCATCCCGCATCATTTCTTAAATTTCCATCAATCATCAGCGTCGCTACCAGTGAGCTCGCGTCTATCTTTCTCGGTAATTGGTGGAGCGGGATTAGTTCGAATTGCGACTTTGTTCGCTTCCCTGACGGTCTTCGGTGGAAAGTCGCCGTGCTCGGTACTAAATGAAGTCGGTATTTTCTTAAGAAGAATCGATTTTTCATGGCTGTCGCAATCAGCTCCGGGAAGCGCCGCTACGCCTCTCAGGCCCTATTAGCTTAAATTGTAGAGAAGCCGTGAAGAGAGTCGCAAGTCCTATCTTGCCTTCGGGTGCTCCTTTTAAACGCCAATCACTTCAATTTCAAATACAAGGACTCGTCTCGTTTGGTTATTGTTTGGCCTGTTGATTAGTGGGCCTAATGCGACGTGGGCGGAAAGGCTACACTTCCACCCACACGCGATACGTTGGCGTTTTCGTCGTCATAGCCATTAATCTGCCCTCGCTTTCTCCGCAGCCGCTGGGCCACGGCAGCGTGCCGCCTCTCCTGGGTGCGCGTCGAAGTGCTGTTCCGTCTTTGTTCCCAAATGCCTCTATGTCCCGGCTCGCTTGCACCTCCAAAAAGACCTTCTTTGACGTGTTACAATATATAAGTTATTGGCATTAGTATTGCATTATAAATCGACACAATTTGATTTCCCTCGCTTTTTTAGTAATGTTGCACTGGTTCTTGTCACTCATAATTTTTTAGTATAAGTCATTTATTTAGAAATACAACTTCGCATTCGTTAATCACAATTTATGTAATGTACTTCATACCTGGCGCAAAATTTTGTCTATTATGCAAAGGCTTTCCCGCCTGCCTTGTCTATCACAAAAAAGCAATGAGCTACGACTATAGCGTCTTTTCGTTTTTGAGTTAATCTTATTAGCACCTGCAGTGACTGCTGTTAGCATCGAGGCAACGCTAATTTCCCATCTAAAGTGTTTTTCGCAAATCGTTCGGAGTAACCTACAATTTCCTTACTAGTTCTGTATATGTGGAGCTCCCTTCAAGAATGCAGTGTTTGAATAGTCCCAAAATGTTTTGCTCATGTGACGAGTACTCTTTCAAGGAAAATCATAAAACCTATTTTCTGA